GATTTAGGGTTAATTAACTTTTAGCCACCGAATCCTTAGGGTGAAAATATTGTTTAATCCCTCTAGTTTTTGTGTTTATTTTTATTTTGGTCCCCAAACTGAATGTTTTCCTGTTTCCAATTTTGTCTCTTTATTTTACCCGCATTTAATTTTAGTCTTAAGTGTTGTTGTATTTAATCTTTGCCGTTTCAGACATTGAACTGTTAAATTTCTTTATGTTTCGTTTTTGTCCCTATGTCGTAGTTTTTATGTTTTTAATTCTGTTCCTATAGCTTTCGTGCATTTCATTTCGGTCCCCAGTCTTATGTTTTTTAAATTTTGCTATTTTTGACTTTTGACTTTCATTGTTTAGCATGTTATGATTTTGTTTTTATATTTGAGTCACATTTTGTACATTAGGCGTTAATATGCGTAATTTATGATTTTTTTAATTAAAAGATATGTACATAATTTTTTGTATATCACATTGTATGCTATTTTTTTATTTTGTTTAATTAATTCTGGCATGACATACTTTTTGCATAATTCACATGATAGCCTCATTTGCATAACTCGACATATCACATAATTGGATTAAGGGTAATACCCTTTTAATTTAAAATTGTTGAAGTGGGCAGTCATAACTGATTTGAGGTCCGCTTTTAATGATTTTAAAATAAAAGTGTATCCCGAAAGTGAAACTCAAAAAATTGATTCGTTACCTAAAATTTGGGAACGAAAGAAAAGGAAATGTTCGTTTATTTAAATTTATCGAGAAAAGGTTGTTATAACTTTTAAGATCTGGTCTCGACATTTGTAAATAATCGAACATTCTTTGTCTTTCTAAAACGACTCAGTAATTTTAATTTAATTTGAGTGCTTTTGAATGTTTTAAATTTACATTTTTATTTTATGGGATCAAAAATCAAATTGAATTCGAATTTGTAAAGTTCAATGCAAGGACGTTAATTAATCGATTAGGTACCGATTTAGGGCGTTGTGGGGGTGCTAATCCTTCCCCACACGTAACCGACTCTCGAACTCGGATTTCGGTAACGCAGACCTCAATTTGTTGTTTTAATTAAAATTAATTTTTATTTAAAATGACAAAGCATTTTTGGGTGCCCAATCACACCCTAATCAAAGATTGGTGGCGACTCTTTGAACCGTATTTTTTTCGATCATAAAGGAAATCCAAAAATTTTCGAAACAAGAGGTCTTTTAAATCGCATTTATTTTTAAATTAAAAATCAATTGAAAGAGGTAAACTAAAAATTAATGTGGTTTTCAAAATCTCACCCTTTTCTCACACCTAAGAAAAAATCGTTTCGACATATATTTAGGAATAATTACAATAATATCCCTATATATATAATTTTTATCAATTAAGTCATTATTTTTATTGAATAAAAATATTTTTTTTCGAGTCGGATCGGGTAAAACTTTATTTTGGTCGGGTCGGGTCGGGTCTCGGGTGGAGGTTCCCTTTTTCTCGAGTCGGGTCGACTGGACAAAAATCTGACCCATGGCCATCCCTAATTGGGATGATTTTAACTTATGATGTTTATTAGTATGATTTTTATAATTTATTGAAATTAATAATCAATCAATAAAATAAAATTTTAATATTTTTAAAATTTTTATAATATATTGTTACATGTAAGTTATAAAACAAACTAAAATTAAGCAAAAAAAGAAAGATAATTCTTTCATTTTACATTACTAAAATCAAATTCATCTGACATGTCTGCAAACCAAACAGACTATAGAATTGGATTCCAATTCAATTTCCTGCCAATCAAACAGGTTTCAGATTCAGATTCTAATTTCTTCACAGACTCCAATTCTCTCAAAAACATTCAACGAACCAAACGCCACCTAAGAATGCATTAGAAACATAAAGTGACTAAGAATTAGATGAAGACCAACTAGAAACAATATTTAAAGAATATAACAAAGTCAAAAGAGTTTTTGAGTACTTATTTGTTATATTTTCATTATAAAACACGTGAACTTTATTGTTTATTTTATTCAAGTGTAAATTGAGTTTTTGATTGTGTGAACTTGTTTCCCTTGTAAGATTTTTTTGTGTTTTCTAAATTTATAACTCCTATTTTGGAGCTAGTGTAAGAAAGATATTTTAGTAAAAATCTTGAAGTATTTATACGATTACAAATCGTCTTCAAAGATTAGTAAATTCAAAGGATTTGAAAATTCTTAGTGTGAATGTAGGCTAAGTTCATAAGTAAACCAAAAATCAAGCACGAAACATCAATCAAGCTATAACAGAAAGAAATAGCACAGCTAGTAGAGAAAGAAACGATCTCACCAATATGGAAGAGAAAACCGAATCAATCGAACAGCAAAATTGGTGACGAACGCCAATGAACCCTAATCAACTAAATCGATACCTAAATTCCAGCAGAAGCTTCGAATTCGGCGACAGAAAGAACTGAAAAACACTCTGATACCAAATAAGAATCCTATCAATGGACCCAAAACATCATAAGCAAGATGAACTAAAGCTATGAAACTCAGAAAATGAATACAGAGATGTAAAGAGGAAGACAATAATGAACTATTTCTTTATTATTGAATATTGAAAGAGCATAACCCAAAGACTTTACAAACAGTAATACTTATAGCCCAATACAAAGCTAAACGGTTACAACGGCCCAGCAGATTGCAACCGACTAACCTTCAGCAGCTGTTTACATTAATATTATATTACTCTGATATGATAATCAAACTTGTTAAAAAAATCAGCAGCAATTATTTTAACCATAAAATGCAAATTCGTCATATTTCAGCCCGTTATTGTGGATCAAAACTTTAAAATATTGTAAGCTCGGTAAATGCAGATTGAATTCGGGATATTCAAGTGTCAGCATGTTAATCTTTATTAAATGATAATAATAATAATAATAATAATAATAAATACGTCTGGATTATATAAACCGAGCTGCAATTTAAGCTCACGAAATTTATTCATCGCCAATTACGGTGCAAAAGTCACATCAAGTCGAAGATTTAAAATATTAGCGCTTGATTATCAATGATAAAAACAGATCTCGGCTGAAGATTTGAGAGAAGAAAGAGTTGAGAGATTACATGCTGGGTTCGATTCTAATCTATAGAGTTGCAAGCGTTTCCCCCATTCTCGACTCCCCAGACGAGGAAGGGATGAGGATTTTCGCGCGTTCAAGTATGCGTGAAGTGAAGCACAACCGAAATGAATACAATAAAATTATAACTATTCTTTTCCCCCAGCGCAAATTATTTTTTGTTCACATTTATTTATCTATTTTTCATTAAATTTCCTTCCTTCCTAAGAAAAAAAAAACCAATAATTTAATAGTGAATCGTTAAAAGAAATTTTCAATCTCTTACCCAAAAAAATTAATGAAATATGGTTTGTTAAATAATCGATTAAATTTTTAAAAATTAAATTTTTTGTAGTATTTATTAAAACAAATTATAAACATTTCACAGAGCAAAATATATATTTTTTAAAAAAAAGAAGCAAAATAGTATTTTCCAAATTAGTGGTGTAAATAACGCTAAGGAACCCAAAACAGAGAAGAGAAGGAAAATTGTTTTAAGTCGCAAAGTAAATCCTTTGTTTATAATTATATCAATGATTTTTAGTTTCACAGAAATAGGCAGTAAAAAAGAAGACAAAAGTTTTATAGTGAACTGTTTGTTCCATATTATGCAATTAAAGTCGTATGTTTCATACGATGAAGAAATATATAAAAACAACCATAGGAAGGATGGGTTGAAGCAAGCTTTCGATTTTCACCATCAATGGAGCATTTAGGTTCACAACCACCGGCTCCGGCTGAACTCACCCTGTCGCACGACAAGCACTTCGCTTTGCATGGCGAAATTTGGCTACTTATTGTCATTCTTACTTTTGCTCTCTTCTTTGTTTACATTCTTTTTTGTCCTCGCCTCAGATGCGGTAAAAGCTCAGAGTCCGAAGAAGATGCTTCGGATTCTGATAGTGTTCCAGGACGGAGGACCTGTTGTTTGGTCTCTTCGAGGGGTCGGAGCGTGACCAGCGTTGAGGATAAAGCTGAAGACGAGGAGGAAAAAGAAGATTATTCGAGTCGAATCAATGAGAAATTTCCTTCGTAAAGAGTAAGTTCCTCTTTTCTTATGTTATACCATTGTCGTAGTCATCAGATTTATATAAAAATCAGAGTTGGACGAATCTCAATCGTGTATTCCTAAAATGGTAATCTTGAATGCTCCGAGTTATGTTTGTTGCATGCATGTGGTTTTTTCAATTTAACCGGAGTTTTGATTTTCAAGTTCAAGATTAATATTTCCTTTTATTTTTTTCAAGGTTATATTTTAATTTTGGTCCCTCTACTTTGCTTAATTTAAGTCCTTATACTGATTAAAATGTTAGTAATCAATCTAAATAGGTAAAATCATTAAAATGTTATTAAATAATCATTAATTACGCGTTGCTTTAATAAAAATGAGATCTTTGATCCCTTAAACATTGAAGTTTGAATCTTTACATTGTTAATAGAATAATAAGTCGGGTTGGAAAAAATTTCCACGAGCCTCTATAATATTCGATCCAAATTATCTATTAATTATCCAAATACAAAATTTTATACCCTTTTCTATTGGATTGACATTTATTTATTTATTACATTAGAAAGTAATTTTTTTTTAAAAAAAAGCCCACATTAATATTTTGAAAAAAAAATTCAACATAAACTAACTTATAATATTATAAAAACAAATTATCAAATTATGACAAATTGATGTATAGAGAAAAAAATCTCAAGTTTGGGTAAATAGAAGGACTAAAATCATATTTTCACCTTATTTCAAGTAGCAACCGGAAAAGGATGTAAAGAACAAAAAAACATCAAAGTAATGGATGGTAGTTAAGCCTCAAATGTTGTCATGCAATCAATATTTCAAGGATTTTACACTGATTCTTAAATCGGAAATTGTCTGTTAAATAAATAATGCTTGTGCAGCTTACAATAAGTTTTGCACTGATTCTTAAATCAGAAAATGAGACTGCTGATGAATATCGATGTTAAGGTAACCGTGAGGTTGTCATCAAGCTCGGTGCTAATCGGAAGAGACTCCACCAGGGCTGAGGCAAGAGGCACAATCAAGAAACCCAAAACCATCCCCCAACTCTTTTGAATATATCCGAAGTAGGAAAAGTAATACATATACCTGTTACATTATTGCTCGGCATTAATGCTAATGCTCCATCATGTTGACACTTAACATTGAAAGAGAAAATCAACACAAAACTTACCCTACAGAAGACAAAAAACCAGCTGTGGCCATTGCAACACTACCAGCTATGGACTTGTTCCTGTTGTAAGGAAGCTTCTGTCTACCAAATCGCCTTCCTACAGTATCCGCAAAACCTGTACAGATAAAAATAACTATGGTAAAGTTTGCACTTCTCATGATTAAAAAGCACCACAAAAATCAAAATAAATCACCCCATTCAGTTTTTCTAAGAAGTACTTGAAATGTTCATCACAAGCGGCTTTGATTTAAGCTAAATCAAGACAGAAAAGAAGGCAAATAATTAACAGTTACCATCTGCGGCACAAAGGTTACATATTGCAGCAATTCCAATAGGTGAATTCCTCCAGTATACCGCACAAGCCAAAGTAACCGTTATAGCATAATAAAGTGGCCCTTTAAGAAGTTCCCTGATATAGAGAGTAAGTTTAGGTCAAGTTGAAGAAGTCCTAAAAATTGATAAACAATAAATGAATCCAATAAAGACCCAATTTCATTTTCAGATTATCAAATAACGACTTTAAGGAAAAACTTTACATATACAATTTGATGTATTAATTTAGGCTGAAAGAAAATACCCAACATGAGAAAGCTGCTAACTAGTAGGAAAACTATTGATATTCATAACATAGACATTAAGTTTTCGACTTTAATCGAACCTGTAGTCTCCATATCTGCTCATTGACTTCACGGTGCCTTCATCTTTCCAAATTCCAGAACCTATAAGAAGCATTCGAATAATATTGACACCAGGAGTAATAGCTGCTAAAGTTGCTCCACGAAATCCCGGAGTGTAATGATAAGTATTAGCTATTCTGCAAGGCAATACATGACAAACAATATAGTGCGCATTGCTAATGAGACTACCTGAATAATGACCAGCAAAGCATGAAAACTAGCCCGATGCTTGTATGCACAAGCTTCCGATTCAGTTTCTGAACAACAAAAACAAAGAAGTTATTTACAAAAGAATGAATTCTGAAAGAAAAAGAAAAGTATTTTGATGTTATGTCTTTTTAAAGAGATTGGTTTACTTTATGTTATGTCTCTTTAAAGAGATTGGTTTACTTTATGTTATCTCTTTAAAGAGATTGGTTTACTTCATGTTATGTCTCTTTAAAGAGACTGGTTTACTTTAGGAATAAAGTGTTTACTTTTAACATCCTAGCATAGATGACCGTAGGAAATCACATCGCTGTTTTACTGTTATTTTCCATTTAAATCATATCGCTATCCATAACCAAAAGTCAGTAGGAAATGATAAGCTTTACCAAAGTATAGATGGCAATAACACCGTGTTTGGGCAAACCGGAAATTGATGGAATCTTCCAAGGACCAGAATCTGAACTTTGATGCAACACGAAGAAGGCAATTTTTTAGCGATGGAAGCAAAGTAGGTAACTGACCTGATCTTCGCCTCGTTTGGCTGTTTCTTTCCATAGTAAGAGAAAAGCGAATATAACGACGCAGCAAACCAAGGCGGCGAACAAGTCAGCCACCACCGAGTTTTCAGATAACATTATTTACCGCAACGAATAATATCTCCCTTTGACCTTTTAAAAGCCTTCAACAAACTAAACTTCAAGAGAAAATATATCTATAATAATATAATTATTATTGTATATTTTAAAAAATAACTCTATATGGCAATTAACGATATTCCTTAAAAATGAAAAGAAAAAAGAGAGAGTATGATTTTCGCTGATGGATCTGCATAAATCTAGTAAAAATATTAATAGAAGAAGAAAAAACCCTCGTAAGCTGCCAAACATTATGGACAAGGGACAGAGTTGTCCATGTCAGCATTTGCCAAATGAAAACAAAATGCAACCTGGTCAAACATATAGGCGATTGGCGTAAGTGTCGAACATCACTCAGTTTTGAGGAATTTCATGATGGTAGTAGGAGGCCTTGGATCTCTGCGGAGTTTTCAGGAGTCTGTTGATCGGAAAGTGAAACGATTAGTAAATTTGAAGTTCTTAAGACTGTTGGCACTGGCTGAGATGTTAGAAATACGCCGCTGTAAAATAATATAGGGTAAAATATATAAATGGCTTTTTGTTTGATTTTTTTAAATGAATTATTTGTTTTTTCTTGTTAAAAATTCAATAAAGATAATAATACAATAATAAATTTAACCATTAATCTTTAAACTTTATTTTAATTTAATTAATTTTATAATATTAACTTTCTAATATTCTACCAATTTAATCTCTTTTTCTGAAGGGTATTGTCAAGACGAACACATGATTTTATGCTAGAGAAGATAAATTAATTTACAAGAATATAAAGGAGAGTAAACTTATAAGATTTTAGAAGATAAAAATAGATTTTAAATTTAAAATAAAAAATATCTAAACTATATAAAAATTTAAAAATTTTATGGGATGACCACTTTCACCTCTTCCATGTTTGGTCACTACAGCAAAAGTGTTCTGTAGCGGCGTTTTCAGCGGCGTTTTATGATAAAACGCCACAAAAGTATTACATATAGCAGCGTTTTCATTTCAAACGCCACAAATTGAGACTTTCGCGGCGTTTTTTGTGAAAACGCTGCAAAATAGTATAAATATAACGGCGTTTTTGTGAAAAACGCCGCCATAGGATGGTATATAGTGGCGTTTTTTCAACAAACGCCGCAATTAATAATAGTTTTTACGTCGTTTTTAGACAAACGCCACAGAAAGGTTAAACAATAACGGCGTTTATAGTAAAACGCCGCAATATAGTAGACATTTAGCGGCGTTTTAGCTAAAAACGCCGCAATATAGTGTAATATAGCGACGCTTATTGTATAAACGCCGCAAAAATATGTGATATAGTGGCGTTTTGTAAAAACGCCGCAAAATGTTAAATATATTATCCTCCATTTTCTCCTACCCAAACCCTAAAATCATTTCAACTCTTCTTCCCTCACAGTTTCTTCTCTGGTACAACAACAACCCTCACACGATTCCAAGCGACGTCGTCTTTTGTCTATCCCGGCGACCAAATCGGCCCTCTCACCGACGAACTATAACACAATTCCACGGTTTGATCCCTCTTATCTTAGCTCCTGATCTTTTTCAATTTTGTTTTGGTTGGTATTCTGAAAATGGGGAAAACCCAGAAAGCTAACATATTTGAGAAAAAAAGAGCAGGTCTTGCCTTGAGTAAGAGAAATTATCGTCGAAATGGATCAAATTATCGCTGGGAGGCTATCGGTCCGGTTTCGCCGTCGAAACTCGATGATGACTCGACAAGAACTCATATTGCTCCATACCCTTCCATGGCCGATCTCCTACTTGAAGGTAAAATTCTATGAATCTTTATGCCGCTATATTTCCTTTTTTGTACGGTCACTCAAATTTCATAGATCGTACGCATGTAGGATCTTCGAAGGTATTGAGAATGATGATAGAGAAATGGAAAAATACCCTATGTTTAGAACCGAATTTGGTAACTCTGTGGCGTTGAAAGAATCTTCAATTGCAAAAGCAGTATCGATCCTCAATGAAGACGATGTTGCCTCTACTGTTACTCCAAGTAAACATTTATATCATCTATTTAAATATATTTTAATGTTTGATTCAATTCCCAAGAACCTTCAATCAAGTTTTATACTGTAGGTGGAGGGTCGTTATCTGTTTCAAGTGAAGCACTGAAGCGCGCAAGGAGTCTTCTTGGTGAACCGGAGGTAGGAGATTTATTTGGTGAAATGGATGAAGAGTTTCTCCATATAGAATTTACACGGAGGAAAAACTTAACGATGCGTCGTCAAACAAGGAAAACAGCTTTCCTACGTCCTTTTCCCACGAAAGAGCAATGAAGACTAAATTGTACTGAACAATATGGTGAAGACTGTTTATGCATAAGTACTTTAATGTTTCTAAATTATAATGTATTTTGTTTTTAAGTAGTTTTATGCATAAGTACTTTAATGTTTCTAAATTATAATGTATTTTGTTGTTAAGTAGTTTTATGCATAAGTACTTTAATGTTTCTAAATTATAATGTATTTTGTTGTTAAGTAGTTTTATGCATAAGTACTTCTGTTTTAATTAAAATGTATGGTTGTAACTTTAGGTTATGTATAGAAGAAATGAAATATTTAAAATATGTTAATCTAATATAAATAAAGGTATTTAGCGGCGTTTGTATCCAAAACCGCCGCTATATATTAAACATTTTGCGGCGTTTTTAGATATAAACGCCGCTAATGAGTATTACAATAGCGGCGGCTTTTTACAAACGCTGCAATAGGTGTATTATATAGTGGCGTTTTTATAAAAAAAACGCCGCAAAATATTTATATTTTAGTGGCGTTTGTATGAAAACGCCGCTACGTCCTTTCCTACTTTAGTGGCGTTCGTATGAAAACGCCGCTATAGCCTCGTACTTTAGTGGCGTTTTCGTAGAAACGCCGCAAAGTATTAGTAATTTAGCAGCATTTTTCTAACAAACGCCGCAAATGATGCGTACTTTAGTTGCGTTTTTAATTAAAAACGCCGCAATTGGTTACCCTTCAGTGGCGTTTGTATATTTAAACGCCGCAAAGTCCGTTTTAATTCTCCTCTAGCCCTCTTTTCCATCACTATTATCCGTTCCCTCACGCCAATTACAGAAGCCATCTCCTTCACTGCGCCCAGCTTCCTTCGCCTCCAACGTCGTCGCAAGTAGTACACCATTCTTCGGTCGATAAGTAAAATCCCAAATCCAACCCAGCATTTCTTAACCCTTCTTCCCTTGTTTCCCTTCGATTTCTCTCTGATTTCAGACTCGGAACAAAAATTACGCGACGAAAATGAGAAGCTTTTCGCGATACCCAGGTTAGGCTTTCTTTCTCTTAGTAGTTGATTCAACGTGAGATGCGCATTAGCATGTATTATGGACTAAACCGAGTTAACTTTTCTAATGGGGTTGCTATTGTCAGATTTACCTTGATTTTGCAGTTCTTGTTGAAGCAGAAGGAGAAATTTTAGACAACATCGATAGTCAGGTTTGTTCATATTCTCAAATCTCTTAGAATGGGTGGTTTACCAAGTATTTATTAGTATGCATATTAGGTCGAGTGGTGTGTTTTTGCTTGGCATTGTGCGTTAATGAAATCTTGTTCAGGTTTCAACTACAGTCAGTAATGTCCAGTCAGGGACGGTTGTCCTTCAAAAAGCAAAGAATCGACAGAAGAGTACACGAAAGAGGATGTGCATCGCCATTTTGATTCTCCTAATCATAGTTGCTGTTATAGTTGTTGGAGTCCTTAAACCTTGGAAGAGCAGCTAAGGTACTTACTTGCCTTCGTTCCTCTTTATCCTTTAAATCAAGTGAACACTGGGGGGAAAAGGAAACTGATGGTCTTCTTTATCGCCATAGAACATTATATTATGTTTCATGAGTATGTGACTATGATGTGTGTGATATGAAATCTTGAAATAAATAAATTTCGTATGTAGTATGAAATAAAATATGTTATAATAAATTCTATGTGTTCATAATGTGTACTACGCAAGCATGCATTATGTGAAGCTTTAATGTTATGTTAGTCGTAAGAATGAAATAACATAATATGTGTTAATTTCAGTGGTGAAAATACATTTTATGACATGTTCTTTGAAAATAAGGTAATTGTGCTGAAAATCCATGAATAAAAACTATGTGAATGATAAGGAGTTAATGCTCAACTATGTTACTAGGTAAGCCAAGATAAGAAACCATGTGAATGATAAAGAGCTAAGGCTCAACTATGTTACTTGGTACGCCAAGATAAAATCGTATGTGACAAGTTTAAAAAGAATATGTCCTTGGATGTTAAGTTAGTTTGGATAAATTGGCATGACATAGAGTCCATTTGAGCTTATGATAGGGTTGGATTACGATTCATGGATTATGATCCTTACTTGGCGACAATAAGAGGGATATGTTGTTAGTCATTGGCAATAATTTAAAGGGATAAATAATTCTATGTTATTTAGTGACAGTTTGGGTGGGGATTCGTGTGTCCATAGTTACTTATAATCCAATAGGCTAAATAATGACTCTAAATGATATAAATCTTACTATGAAATCCAATCGGTTAAGTTAATGAATTAATACAATTATTATACCATGAAAAGAAAATTAAACTATGATTTGATTATGATTTTCCATAACTTAAGCTATCACTAGGCATATTATATAAGTCCATGTCATGGAAGTTCATGCTATGATACATGTTATTTACATGGAAGTCATGCATGATGAATTATGCTATTTGTAGTTGCTTTGAAATTTACTTGTTATGATAAGTTCATTGTGTCAATTGTCATTCAAGCATATTAATAACAACCTAATATGTTTTGTTCATTTTATTTATATTATGTTAACTACCTCACTAAGCTATATAAGCTTGCATTCTTTGTGTTTCACCATTTCAGAAAATAAGTTTGATAGCTCGCCGATTTGTATTTAGGACTTTGGTTTGAGTTTTGTTAACATCCTTAATTTGATTTTCTTCTAGATCGAGTTGAGGGTGTTACAAGCAACACTCTTAGATATTTTAACA